TCTCTTTTTGTTTAATTGAGGGTATTGTACTGAGTCTATTTTTTCAAGATTGCAATTTTTAGAGCATTTCAGGTAATCACTATAATTTTCATTTTGAAATTCATAAAAAAACGAGCGGCGTGCGGAGATGTGCCTTAGGTGTAGTGTTTTGATTAGGGACCAACAAATTAAAGCAGAAAGCCTCGAGCTAGATGGTCGTAAGATTAACTAACGAACTTTGATCTCGTCGTTGATTAAATGAAAACAACTTAATTATCTGTAAAAGTTATCAGGTATGATAATGGCTTAAAAAATCATATTGTAACTGTTTTTGTCTCAGCTAAGATGAAACGTTCTATCTGTTCAATTCGTACATATTTTTTGTAGTAACGCTAACCAGCATTAAGGTGAAGAATTTGTATTAATGAGAAAGACTCTTACTCTGCATGTTATCGTTTTCCAAGTCTGGTGGTAACATTTGCATTTTGCAAATTAACGGAAGCTAAAAAGTTTGGAAGGTTTATTTATTTGGAAGGTTTAAAACGGCCCTAATTTTTGCCAATAGTTAGAACGATTGAAATTAGCAGAAGTAGATAATCCAATCTCTTCATGTGGGGGCTTCGCTCTATGCCAACCTGCCCAAGTTGCATGGGGCTCACCGCCATTAGCGGATCTTAATTCTACTAATTTTGAAATTCGCACTCATCCTATCGATACGTCACGGTCTTTTTCGGTGTTTGGGGATATACAAAAATTTGAGACATGTAGAACCAAATTTTACGTTTGCACGGTTTAGGAGTCATAGTAAATTATTGTTTTGGTATCTACCATAGCGAAACCAAAAAAAATTATTTTTGGCCGAAAACCAACATTGGTCGAAAATTAAACTCTTTTTGTCACTTTGGCTGCTCGGAGGTGAATTGCACTTGCAGTTTAGTATTAGCTAGTATCAGCATTATTCACCTATGTGGTATTTACAGACAATTAGTAATCTCAGCTTTTTTTTCACAAGTAACTATAACATGGATTTAACACAATGACCATTTTTCATTCTTTTATAATTATTAATTACATTGATATGAATAAGCACCAACAGTTTTTAACAAGCGTCTATGTTCCTGAAGGTGCTACACATCTAAATCAAATTACGATTGAATGATATATAAATGAAGTATCAGGAAATGGGTGCTCATTCTATGATGGTAAAAATACTTGGTGCAACTTGACAAATGCAATTACTGTTACTGATTTGAGCTTGAACTGATAAAAACAGGCCACGTATGGAAAGGGAAGTCCGTAAAGACGAAAGTTTGAATACTCTCTATTGGTTTCTGATGTTAGGACGTTTTAATAGCTGATGCTGAATACCATTAACATTCTGTAAGTAGTTCTACGATTAAAAATACAAGGGGTTGACTGGTACCAAATATGTTAAACGTGGCTCCAAATTACAGCTGCTTTTTCGACAATTAATCTATGACTTTGGTATGATTTGCCATTTTCTTATAGAATGAAAATATCATGCGATTTCATTCATATTTTCCACCGAGATGATTACTAACTATTTTTTTCCTTATATACCTTTAGGTATTATTTTCAGTTCCAAATATATTTAATATATGTATGAAATGTAGTTTTCGTTGAATAAGGAGCGGATAAACTAAGAGCTGTAGGTGCAAAGATCTGTTATCGAGACCTTCTGTACCTATCTTGAAGTGGAAAGTTTTCAGGGCGTTCACAACTTTAAGTTTTGCGAAATATCTTTACTAGACCGGCCCTGAATTCCGGCATCCTTACGGCGTACACGAGTGGATTTGCTAAGGAATTTATCCCAACTGACATATACATTGCTGAGGTAAAATAGAAATATGACCGGTTGGAAAGCGTATTTGAGATATCTTTGTTGAAATACCTCAGGGTTGTTACAACAAAAAATGGCAACCAAGACAGAAGCGAGGCAAATGTAACCCAAATTAAAGTGATGGTTAATTTTCTATCTCTATTGGTTGCACCATGGTGCTGGGGATTGTGACCATATCGAACCTTGATAAATAATGATATGTAAGAAAAACAGATGATGGAGAGAAAAAATACATACCAAATAAGTGAGACCATGAGACTTATGCTGGTATCCCGTTTAAGATAAAAATGTAAAACAGAAAGAGATGTTTCACAGAATGGAGCCATTAACCAGGTACTGGAAATTATAACTCCATACACCCATTTCTTAGTAAAACGATGTTTGAATGGGAAAAAGGTAGCATGTAATCGTTCCAACGAAATAGCTGCAAGATTAACAAGGGAGGTAAGAGGAAAAAGATCCCTCAGAATGACTAAAACCAAAATCTTATATTCTCTCGTTTGAGCGTCATTGTGGTCCCTTGCATAACAGAAGTACCAAACTCGAATCATGGCCAAAGCAGGAACAGAGACTAATCCAACTAAGAAATCGACTATGGCCAGATTGATGACTAAGAATTTACTCCGGCGATGTAAATGGCGCTTCTTCGTGAATACAATAATAGTGATGAGATTTAAGATGACTATTGCCAGACATTCAGAGATGAGCATCACCAACAGTGTAGTACAATCTGATGTAAGAATGGCTGAACGTGTCCTTTCATAGATGCTGTTTGATGTTGTGTTGCAGGTGTTGCTGGCCATTTTGTCCCTGCAAAATGATGTTAATATCTTCAGTTAACCACCATTCTCTAGGAAAACCACGACGGGTCTTCATTTGAACTCAAAAGACTTGCATTGTGGAGGTGCTCTTTAACAGTTTTGTTCCAGGATCGTTTGAAAATGCGAGTGGGATGGAATGGAATATGGATTTTCCTCCGTATTAACACTTTGGTCAAAATCATTACAATTTCCTCAAATGTTATTGGTGCATCAGCTGCTTTATATATCACTTATCTCTCCGTACAATTGTAATCGGATGGTGCAATCGGGCAGTTGGCTGTAATCAGACACCTGTAATCGGATAGTTGAAGCAGCCAATCATACTAAGTCCACTCAGCTAAATCACACCAATCACAGAATTGATCACAATAACCATAGCAACAACCTCTTACCCTGAAAAAAAAACTAGGAAGTTTACCAATTTTTTGCTTTAGACATTGTCTCTACGTACTAAAGATGTTGGTCTTAAATACATTCACTTTTTTTTTCGGAAATTGTAATGGTTATGATTAATTGGTAACAGGACTCGTCCAATTCTGTCCAGTGATTAACAAATCGGACTCTCGCTTCAGATCTTGTGAGATAAAGAGTTTAAAAGAGCTTAGATCTTCCTCTTCATTTTATCAGCAGATATTTTTTCCATTGCCACAAACATTGATATCATTCTTCACTGAAATGCATGCTTATGCATAAATAAACCGACGGAAAATATGCATGATTGCGAAATGTGTGTGGCAAAGTTAACAAAAGGATATCTTAGTTCAAAAATAGGAAAATAATGGTCGCATAAATGTTAGTCAAAGAGTATTTCAACTGGTAAAAAATAAAATGCTGGAAACATGTTTGGTTTGATTGATAGTTAGTTGCACGAAGAAATGCACAGTATGTCGTGTTAATTATCAGAGAAATGCGAATGCATTAACCTTGGTCGAGCGTTTCCAATGTATTCTATTTTCCCGTTCTTTAGTTTTCAAATCAACAATATTGTCGTCCTCTTCCAGGGGCTATATGAATTTATTGGGCTGTTGCACCTACATGGAAAACAACGGGTGGAAGAGATTTTTCGAATTTGTTCGTTCAGCTTCACGATAGCTGCTAAAAAATTGCATCCAGATGGTGAACTAACATCAAAATAGATTTGTTCAATATATTTGTAACAAGAGCAGAACAAAATGAAAACTCTCATAAGCTGAAAACGTCTCCTCTGTTTCCCTTCTTCTGCTCTTAAATAAAGCGAAATCATGGTGGATGTTCAAGGGTCTGTATGCCTGTGTAAGCTCTTTGAGGAGCCCAATAATCTCTCTGGCCTTTTTTCTTTACAGTTAGAAATACTCCTAAGCAACTGCCTCATTCCTTTGAAAAGTAGCAAATAGGTTATGGGGTCGATTCCTTGAATTTTCTCGAATTTGTTAGCACTATTTATATTAATGTATTAGTTTCCTCAAATCTAAGGTTTTCCACTCTTCTTAGCCCAAACGTTCAATAAAGTAACTCACAGAAATCCTCGAATCAAAATAAGTTGGAAAGTAGCTGCTCTCGAGTATCACAAGTTGAGTTTTGGAGATAGTGCAAACAGAGTGGCGTGCTGGTTTGTGTAACTGTTGTTGTTACTAGCACGATTTTCAAGGTAATTCGCATCGCGCTTGTAGATATTACAACAAAAGCTGACAAGCTGGAAACAGCTGATCGACGCTCTGTTGGGAGGATTGACAAAAATATCATGTACCGACACATAAGTATTAGTTTTCACATTAATTATTGCACTATAAGCCGAGTTAAACGGCCTTACTGTCGGTCAAATCACAGGCAAGTCATCCGTCTACGGAGACAAATGGGTAATTGATGTTGCATTGGCCAAACTATGAGGCAGTATTTGATAATTATCTTTGTTTTCATAGGTAATCTTATCTGCTCCATGTCAAGTTTAGAACAAAAGCTGCCAAATTGTTTTGCGAAACGTTTGCGTCTGTTGTGAATTGAAGTGTTGAATACTCAAAGGAGGCCTAAACCAGAATGTTCCTTTCCAACAATCTTCTTTCTTTCAATAATTCAACCGATTGGTTCCTGAAGCGTTTTACACTCTTGAAACACTACTAACTACCAGGCTCAGAGTAGATGATTTATTTCTTAACTCTTGGAACATGGGTATACATTTGAGTAGCTACGAATTTGATGATAAAATTTCAGCTGGCGTAAATACAATGGCTTATTTGCGCACTCATAAATAAGGCCGAAATCAAAGCCGTAGGGTTAACATTATGCAAACAGCAAGCTAGTCAGCAAGTAATGGCTACATCGTCGAATAACTTAAGACTTTAATATTGTCTCATAACTGATCATTAGACCAGTTTCAGCTTCGAGACTTTGGATTCCAGCTGGTCAAATTGTTCCAATGCTTGACGAAGAAGAACTCGCGTTGTTTCAAGGTCGGCACGTATTGTATCTCCTTTGGTTGTCATTTCCCAGCTATCATCCATGGCCGCTGCTAGATGGAATGAAAAAGGATGTTGGCATTTTTGAATCTAAGAATGGCGTGTATTTAAACTCATTCCGCTGTTCAAATATAACTCATGGAACTTCGAAATGATATCGTATCAAAGTATGCCGGTTCACCAGGTTTGAGAAATTTCAGTGAACGATGATGATGATTAAATGAACAACTCTATTGAGGCTCTGAACCAGTATATTTCTTTTCTCATCCCGAGCTTTGGCAGATCTGCTATTTCGTCAGTGGCCCAAGCCCTCTATCGAATCGTCAGTCGGTCAATAAACGTGCTACTTCAAACAATAATAAAAAGGATAATAAAAATGATAGTATTAAATCCATAATAATACTAATAAAAGTAATAATAAATAGACTCATTAGGATAATCGATTGAGAACTTATCTATCATAAATAATGCTATAGATACTTACCTATTACGGTATTTTGCTTCCCTTTTCCTTTCTTTCTCAATAATATGTCCCACGCAAGTCCAATAAGAAGCATTAGAACCAATAGTCCAAGTGATATATACATCAAGTACTTAACAAATGGTGAGGTATCATCAAACAGATTGAAGCTTTTTGAAGACGTCTGGTGCTCAAACTAAATAAAAATGGAAAACAAGTACATAGAATAATGACTGTAAATATAAGAAAATCATATATGTGCACTGCGGTTGAAGAAACGATTTGAACTCATGACCTCTGCGATACCATTGATAGAGCGCTGCACCAGTATCACAAAGGTCATGGGTTCAAATCCCCTGTGGGCCTGAATTTTTTTTCAGGCCTTATTTCAACTACTAGTTCAGTAGTGTTCATAACTGCGAGGATCGCTTCTATTTAAGTACATGGAATTTGTACATTTCTATAATTCACCACATACCTTTTAAGCTACTCTAAGACGATCCAGTGGAGCGCTTGTCATAGTTGGTAGAGATGATTTCTTGAAAATCCGATAGATTTCTATGTTTTATGTTTCAAGGTTTTTTAAGCACCTGACCATCCGTAACGCTAAATTATTAACTAACCGTCGTATGGAAATTTCCCATTGTTCCAATGTGAACTCATAAATATGACTTTCACGAGTTCTTGGAGCTCTCAAACTAGATAACAGCACTGTTATTTTCATCCTTTTTTTTTTGGCTGCCTTGCCCTACTTTGAACCTCTTTCCATTAGGTTAAATGGGACAGTGTTATATCAAACCTCTGTTTCCACTCTTTCAGGGTACACAGAAATTAAGAGACTAACGCACCAGAACCTTCCTAAATGTAATAGCAATTAGATTAGACGGAGTTGTCTGTAGTTTTTTTTTTTGCCCCACATTTTATGGGCGGGACTGAAACGCCCTAGCTCCCTTTAATGAATAACTGAAATGCTGAAAGTCCTTGATGTGACAAGGTTAATTAAACATATGTGCATTATTTTTTGTTGTTTAAGGATGTCATTTTTCAATTGATGCGAAAGAACTTGTAGACTGAGACGATTAAACAAAGGAGAGATGTTTTACCTTTCATGCACGTGTACGTGAAAGATACTTTTAAACTGTAGAGTAACGTTGCGTTATGGAAACATTACGTTAGACTAGGTACCTCGTAAAACGAAGTCAAGGTTTGCATTGATCTCCAAATGGCGGAGCGATGGTAATTTTGTAGGCATTCAGCAAGTTCTCGTTTGTTCTCATTGAATAGAACTCCTACGTCCCTCTGCAAGTCTAACTTCTTCACAGCGAGAAGAGTTTTAAGTTTGTCTCTTTTCTGGTAATAGGAGGCTGTATAGCGATCTAGTAACATTCCCTTGACCTCTTTTGATTTGAGTGCATCGACAGCATCATCGATGTTGTTGTAGACTGAGAAAATAAAACAAACAAAACCGATAACGAGAAAACATATCACACACACACACACACACACACCAAATGATTTACTATTATGTTATATCTTCCCCTTTCCTTATTTCACAATGCTCTCTCAGTTTGTACATGCATTCATTACTTTTTGGATGTGCGTCTTCTTTCAGTGCATGCTGATATTCTGTTCCATTTCCTATCACTCCAACCTGAAAAAATGTTAAAACATAATTATGTTAAAACAGAATTATGTTCAGAACATAATTATCTTTAGTTCAATGTTAAAACATAATAATGTTCAATTATGAGAAGTTACTGAGGGACAACTTGCGCAAACTCCTAAAACTTTGGTAAAACGAGAAGAGTCTTTTTCTCGCCCCTGCCAAGTCTTATGAAGCCCTCAGGGGAAATTTTCGAACCGTGCCTTCCGGGTTTACGGAAAAGACAAAACTTCTGTCTGCCAAAGATACCACTTAATAAAAAGATTGGGAGTATGTAAAGATAATAACTAATCTTTTATTCGCACGATAAAAGATTTCATTTACAGATAGAATTTTCGCGGAATGAATTAGTGTCATTCAGTAGAATAACAATTATACTGCTTTAAATAAATTAAAGCTACCTCCGGTAAAAAGATAATTGAAGAATCATATTGACAATTACTGGAACATTCTATGTTAGTCATAAGGAATATTTTGACCCGTATTATTATTGGTAACTAAACAAACGAAAGAGTTAACTTCTATTGATTGATATTTTTTCAAACTAACTTGAACACCACGAAGGCTGGTTGGTTCAAGTTGCAGGGAGAGAGCTGTCAATGCAGTGGTGACATTTGCCATGAAAATTGCCATAGCTATGAGGCCAAATAAGATCCAGACGACAGAGAAAATACGAGCCATGGCCGACTTGGGTGCCTTGTCTCCATACCTTGGCAAATAAAAAGATACAAAAGAAAAGAGGAATCAGCGATGATTTTATTTGCACTCGTAGGACGGTGACCTGGCTAGAAAACAAACCTATGGAGCTTTACCACGAATGAGCATAAGACGCGTGGACGACTCTGCGATTGTGCTGCAATAGAGAACGAAACTACCACATTTTGACCACTCAGACAGCTTACCCTACAGTGGTCATAGAAATAAAGGACCACCAAAATCCATCCCATGAGCCTCTGATGAATGAACGTGGAAATTCTTTGCCATTCCAGTACGTATCCTGGTAGTACAAAAAAAGTTACGAATGAAGTTTTATGTCTTTTTCCCAGTCACATCTCCATGTAATCATAAGAATGCCATTCCTATCCTTTTTAACATTGAGCACTGCAAATGATCATTTTATAACATCTGATTGTAAATGGATGGGTAGGCAAAATTGTTTTCCGTTCTGTTGACTAGTTTAGAGAGATATATTGGATGAGATCACGGCTGCTTAATATACGAGTTTGGGATAAACCTAAAGCACCTTTTCGGCAGCATCTGGTTCCATTTTTTCAGTTCAAAAAAAGCCCTTGAAGTTTATTAAAAGAGACTGACTTGAAGATAAATGGATATGTGTGACCATTTTAATTCTGCAACCATGAAATCAAATTTATCTCGCAGGACAGCTGTAGGTATGATCTGAATCTTACCAGTGCCCACATGATGATTCCAGCAATGGCCGTAAAGATCATGGTGACGGCGAGCAATGGCCAAGACTTCAATACAGAATCAAAAACGACATCAAGAGCGTCGTTGTTTTCATCGTCGGCCAAAGTTATGTATTCCGTACCAGGATAATCCAATAATTTGAAAAAGATAAATTCAGAGTACTTTTGATTGTTTTGTTGTTCGAATAAAGGAACTGCTATATGGACTTTGTTTTGCTTCAGCAATTGTATCATGCCAGATTCACTGTCAGCTCTAAGGGTCATTATTTCATAGTGATTGCCAAAGAATCCGCTACAATCCCATTGTATGTGTCTTAATATGGCATCTCGTATTATTCCATGAGCTTGATTGTCCAAGGAACTGTTGTCAGGTCCTCTTATGTAGGGAGGCTTGTAAATCCAGGCAATGGTTAGGTTTTCCTTTTCATCATCATCATTTGATTCGGATGCGTTTGATTTCGCTAGAGTCACTCGGAATTTAAAAGCAGCGAGACCAATGAAAAGAGCCAGCAATAACTTAAACCAAGTCGCCATTACTGTTCTCTGCTAATGAAACGAGTCAATAAATCCGTCAACGCCAAACTAGCAAGTCGGTCAGTCTGTCGGTTAGTCTTTCGATCAGTTGGCCAGTCAGTTGCGCAGTCAGTTAGTCGGTCAAAGGTCTGTTGGTCAGTGGGTCTGTCGGTTGGTCAGTCAGTCAGTGGATCCGTCGATCAATCAGTTAGTCAGTTCGAAGGCAGACAGTCAGTCAAACAGTCAGTCAGTTAGTCAGTCAATCGATCGGTAGGTCGGTCAGTCAGTCAGTTGGTCAGTCGGTCAGTTGGTCGGTTAGTCGGTCAGTTAGTAGATGGATCGGTCAGTCAATCAATCGATCTGTCGGTTGGTCAGTCAGTCAGTCGATCAGGCAGTCTGTTAGTCAGTCAGCCATTCAGTCAGTCGTTCAGTAAATTGGTCTGTCAGTCAGTCAGTCAATCCGCTAGTCGTAACATAGATTTATTCTTGTTAACAGGAAAGAAGAAGAGGATTTGGCGGCGACCTTATGTGGCAACATTGACTTGCATTATTCCTCTTTAAAAAGATACTTGCATAATTTCTCTTTATGAAGATACAGGCATAATTCCTCTTTATAAAGCTACTTGCACAATTCCTTTTTAGTAGGATACTTACATAATTTCTCTATGAAAAGATGCTTGCATAATTCATCTTTATAGATACATGCATAATTCCTCTATATAAATACACTTGCATAATTTCCCTATGAAAAGATGCTTGCATAATTCTTCTTTATGAAGATAAATGCATAATTTCTCTTTTTTAAGATACTTGCATAATTTCTCTACATAAAGATACTTGCATATAATTTCATTTAATTTGAATGTCAGTCATCAAAAAGCTGGTGTCATCGTTAAAAAGCTTGATTGACATGCTCAACGTCACTTTTTGAAATCGTTTGAAACACAATTTACTGTTGGAATGTTGGAGTAAGTTACCTAAGCTGACGAAATCTTTATAATATGAAAGTCACTTCAGCTCTTGTTTCGTCGATATTAAATTTTGAAAGTTTCATATTGAAAAGGCTCCTTGAGACAATGGCAGTTTTTCAGCTAATTTGCATTTTGGAAAAATTAGTTAGGGCTGCTTTAACACAAGAAATAAGAAAGGAAAAATATCAGTAAATTGAAATAATTTTCGTGGACGTGCTCGGTGCATGAATTTTTCTTAGTCTAAGCTTTAAACTGGTTAACGAGAGAATTATTCAACTGTTTCAATGAATTTCGTGACAATTGTCAAAAGCTTCGATTCATCATTACGTAGGGGGTGACTCTTACCTTGTTAGTCTGTTTATGCTTTCTAAACAACAAAGGCATTTCATATTTTTGTTGATTTTCATTTTCTAAATGTCGCCAAACCCCAAAATGACTACGTTATGAGGTCTCAAGAAAATTAGCTGATCCCATTTTTAAAACAATGTCTATGGGAGAAAGTTTTTGACCTGGTCAGATAAGCTTTCTTAATATTTCCACAGTACCTTATCTTAGCTTCAAGCTGATTTAGTGATAAAGAAACAACAGTTAATTTTTTTCTTTTACAGAGTCATTTATCCTCTTTACTAGATTCAACTGAGCTGAAAAATAATTTATTGAAATACATTCATGGAAAACCGTAGTCAAGTACGTGCTTAAACTGTGTAACGTTTTAACAGCTTTCATAGAGCATGTTAAACTACATGTAAAATATTCATACTCTCTACTTCTGTGAAACAGGCGAATCAGTTAATTTGCATAAAGTTGAGGTTTGGGTGAGTTTGCTGTATAACAGATCCATACCTTTTTCGGTAATGACTAGAATCCTTCTGGATCGTGTCCAATAATACACGAGGACATTTAATTAATGGAACCTGTGCAGTTACATCAAAAAAAAATTGCAGATTTTAAAAATTACCTGCTTTACTGTTCTTTGGTTCCAAGACACAGGCTCTCGATCTACACGCTGCTATTCACTGCATGGAGTAAGCAACGCGGAGTTTCATTATATGTGCCCCTTGACTACGAAAACAAAGCATTTTCTGCACACTAATTATCCTATTATGGAAGACCAATTGGCAGATCAAGAAAATAATGATAATGGAAAGTCCATATAGACACCTGTTGGTATTAATGATGAACTCTCAAAATCGCTCGTAGTCACTGCCATGGCGAATAAAATGTTGTCACTCGGCCAGGTTTATCATTCTTTTAGAAAGTTTGGAGTTATATTGTGAGAAAGAAATAGAGCAAGCATTTAATTCATTCGGTTTTATGATTTTGAGCGTATATTTATCTATTTATTTTTTCACTCAGTGTTATGTGTACAGAAATACGTACGTAATTTCCATTCTTTTGAGCAAGGAGTAATAGATAAACCCAGTTGCTTGCGTGCAGGCCACCCTTGCCATCAAAGGACAGTAGCTTAGTTCTTTTTAATCTCGCTAAGTCACCTCTGGGGTCGAATTGGCTTCCAGTTAAAATAATTAACCATACTCTGTTGTAAGGCCTTACGGTAGTCCCGCTGCCGCCGCTAGATACACGCAGCTGGACTACCTGAACTAATCAAACGACAAAATACAATGCACTGTAACTAAGGAAGAACTTCACAAAGACTTTGTTGTTATTTATTGAACTGATCATGATAAAGAGAGACAACGATGAAATAATAGGCTATGTTAAATTTTTTAATCTGCAAAAAGAGGCTGAAAAACGTAAGGAAAGAAAAGGCTAAATTTTGGACTAATACAAGAATTTGAAAACTTCAAAGAGATCGTTAAGTTCGTAAGTACAGTGAAAGTAATAAGATATCTGTGAGTTAACGTGAGAATATATAACTTCACCCCAAGCCAAAATATCAAGATGCGGATTGGCGCAATTTCCATCAAGTTGCGATAAACAGGTAGATAATGCTGTCCTAACTTTATCCTCTTACATAGATGTTGAATATTATCTACCTTATCTCTGGGAAATCAGTACATACATAGATATGCAATCTAGATATTTTTTTTAACCTGTACGCGTGTTGCATGGTTCATAAATTTCAAATCCCAACGCACCGTTTACTGGTTATCACTAATTTTAGAAACCTTTGATTCCAGTATTGTAAAGTGATGTTGCATTTGTTTAAGAAGTATTTTGCCTAATCCAAAGTTGTTGAGAATACTTTCTCTCAGTTAACACCATCCCTTTGTTTTCAATGAAGTTTGATCATCTCATAATGCCTGGTAACCACATTAATGGAGAAGGCCCGCCTTTGGAATCGAAGTGAAGACAATATTGAATAGAAAGAAAACATGCAAAAACTGAAAAAAAAAAAACAAATAAATAAATTTGCGGATGATCTGAATGAATGGATGGATGGATAGAAGGATGAATGAATAGATTGACGAAGGGATGGCTGGATCACAGCAACAGCAAATTAGAGCCAGGAACCATTGAAAACGGAAATTTGTATACACACCCGAAGTACCTAACTGCAAGCAGATTTTAAGCGGGGCAAAATATTTTATATTTTCCCCTTTGCTAGAATTTGATGTGGAGGGGTTCCTCAACAGCTTGACGCGTTTTACACACTTTAAACATTAATAACTACCGGGCTCAGATTAGATGATTTATTTCTTAACTCTTCGAACATGCATGGGAATACATTTAAGTAGCAATAAATTTGAACATAAAATTTCAGCTGGCGTATATACAATGGCTTATTTGCTCACTCATATATAAGGCCAAAAGCAAAGCCGTAGGGTTAACATTATGCAAATAGCAAGCTAATCAGCAAATAATGGCTACATCGTCGAATAACTTAAGACTTAAATATTGTCTCATAATTGATCATTAGATCAATTTTAGCTTTGAGACTTTGGATTCCAGCTGATCAAATTGTTCCAACGCTTGACGAAGAAGAACTCGCGTTGTTTCAAGATCGGCACGTATTGAATCTTCTTTGGTTGTCATGGCCCCACTATCATCCACGGCCACTGCTGGAGAAAACGAAAAAGGATGTTGGCATTTTTGAATCTGAAAATTGCGTGCTTTTAAACTCATTCCTCTGTACAAATATAACACAAGGAACTTCGAAGTAATATCGCATTCAAGTTAGAGTAATTTCAATGAATACTGGTGCTGATTTAATGAACGACTCTACTGAGACTCTGAACCACTATATTTCTTTCTTTATTCCGAGCTTTGGCCGATCTGCTATTTCGTCAGTAGCCCAAGCCCTCGATTGAATCGTCAAGCCGTCAATAGACGTGCTTCTGTAAGACAACTTCAAACAATAATAATAGTGATAATAAGAATGATAGTATTAAATCGTTAATAATACTAATAAAAGTAACAATAAACAAATACAAAAGGATAATCGATTGAGAACTAATCTATCGTAAATAATGCTATGAATACTTACCTATTACGGTATTTTGCTTCCCTTTTCCTTTCTTTCTCAATAATATGTCCCACGCAAGTCCAATAAGAAGCATTAGAACCAAGAGTCCAAGTGATATATACATCAAGTACTTAACAAATGGTGAGGAACAATCAAACAGATTGAAGCTTTTTGAAGACGTCTGGTGCTCAAACTAAATAAAAATGGAAAACAAGTACATAGAACAATGACTGTAAATATAAAAAAAATCATATATGTGCACTGCGGTTGAAGAAACGATTTGAACTCATGACCTCTGCGATACCGTTGATAGAGCGCTGCACCGGTATCGCAAAGGTCATGGGTTCAAATCCCCCGCGGGCCTGAATTTTTTTTCAGGCCTTATTTCAACTATTAGTTCAGTAGTGTTCATAACTGCGAGGATCGCTTCTATTTAAGTACATGTAATTTGTACATTTCTATAATTCACCATATACATTTTAAGCTGTAACGCCAAAACCTCTTTTATATGTAGAGGTAAAACTCCAAGATGATCCAGTGAAGCACTTGTCATAGTCAATGATATGTTGAAAATCCCATAGATTTTCTGTTTTATGTTTGAAGAAGGTTTTTTAAGCACCTGACCATCCGTAACGCTAAATTATTAACTAACCGGCGTATGGAAATTTCCCATTATTCCAATATGAACTCATAAATATGACTTTCACGAGTTCTTGGAGCTCTCAAACTAGATAACAGCACTGTTATTTTCATCCTTTTTTTTTTTTTGCTGCCTTGCCTTACTTTGAACCTCTTTCCATTAGGTTAAATGGGACAATGTTATATCAGACCTCTGTTTCCACTCTTTCAGGGTACACAGAAATTAAGAGACTAACGCACCAGAACCTTCCTAAATGTAATAGCAATAAGATTAGACGGAGTTGTCTGCAGACTGAGAAAATAAAACAAACAAAAGCAATAACGAGAAAACATATCAGACACACACACACACACACCAAATGGTTTACTATTGTGTTATATCTTCCCCTTTCCTTAGTTCACAATGCTCTCTCAGTTTGTACATGCATTCATTACTTTTCGGATGTGCGTCTTCTTTCAGTGCATGTTGATATTCTGTTCCATTTCCTATCACTCCAACCTGAAAAAATGTTAAAACATAATTATGTTAAAACAGAATTATGTTCAGAACATAATTATCTTTAGTTCAATGTTCAATGTTCAATTATGAGAAGTTACTGAAGGACAACTTGGGCAAACTCCTAAAACTTTGGTAAAACGAGAAGAGTCTTTTTCTCGCCCATGCCAAGTGATATGAAGCCCTTAGGGAAATTTTCGTACCGTGCCTTCCAGGTTTACGGAAAAAACAAAACTTCTATCTGCCAAAGATACCACTTAATAAAAAGATTGGGAGTATGTAAAGATAATAACTAATCTTTTATTCGCACGATAAAAGATTTCATTTACAGATAGAATTTTCGCGGAATGAATTAGTGTCATTCAGTAGAATAACAATTATACTGCTTTAAATAAATTAAAGCTACCTCCGGTAAAAAGATAATTGAAGAATCATATTGACAATTACTGGAACATTCTATGTTAGTCATAAGGAATATTTTGACCCGTATTATTATTGGTAACTAAACAAACGAAAGAGTTAACTTCTATTGATTGATATTTTTTCAAACTAACTTGAACACCACGAAGGCTGGTTGGTTCAAGTTGCAGGGAGAGAGCTGTCAATGCAGTGGTGACATTTGCCATGAAAATTGCCATAGCTATGAGGCCAAATAAGATCCAGACGACAGAGAAAATACGAGCCATGGCCGACTTGGGTGCCTTGTCTCCATACCTTGGCAAATAAAGAGATACAAAAGAAAAGAGGAATCAGCGATGATTTTATTTGCACTCGTAGGACGATGTCCTGGTTAGAAAACAAACCTATGGAGCTTAACCACGAAAGAGCATAAAACACACGGACCAGTCTGCAATTGTACTATGACAGAGAACGAAACTACCACTTTCTGACCATTGAACAGCTTACCCTACAGTGGTCAGCTTACCCTACAGTGGTCATAGAAATAAAGGACCATCATGAGCCTCTGATGAATGAACGTGGAAATTCTTCGCCATTCCAGTATGTATCCTGGTAAAACAAAAAAAGTTACGTATGAAGTTTTTCCTCTTTTTCCACTCTCATCTCTTGTAGTTATAAGAATGTCATTTCTACCTTTTTCAAACATTGAGCACTGCAAATGATCATTTTATACCATCTGATTGTTAATGGAAGAGTAGGAAAGATTATATTCCGTTCTGTTGACTACCTTAAAGAGGAACATTAGAAGAGATCACGGCTACTTAAAATACGATTTGGGATCAACTAAGAGCGCTTTGTCGGCGGCATCTGCTTTCATTTTTGTTAGTCTAAAAAAGCCCTGAAGTTTCTTAACAGAGACTGACTTGTTAGGATAAATGGATATGTGTGAGCATTTTGATGTTGCAACCATGCATTCAAATTTATCTTGGAGGACAGCTGTAGTTGTGACCTTAATCTTACCAGTGCCCACATGATGATTCCAGCAATGGCCGTGAAGATCATGGTGACGGCAAGTAATGGTCAAGACTTCAATACAGAATCAAAAACGACATCAAGAGCGTCGTTGTTTTCATCGTCGGCCAAAGTTATGTATTCCGTTCCAGGATAATCCTTTAAAAAAGATAAATTCAGAGTACTTTTGATTGTCTTGTTGTTCAAATATAGGAATTGCTAAATGGACTTTGTTTTGCTTCAGCAATTGTATCATGCGAGACTCACTATCAGCTTTGAGAGTCTTTATTTCATAGTGGGGATTGCCAAAGAATCCCCTACAATCCCATTGTATGTGTCTTAACATGGCATCTCGTACTATTCCATGAGCTTGATTGTCCAAGGAACTGTTATCGGGTCCTCTTATGTAGGGAGGCTTGTATATCCAGGCAATGGTTAGGTTTTCCTCCTTTTCATGATCATCATTATCATCAGATTCGGATGAGTTTGATCTAGCTGAAGTCACTCGGAATTTAAAAGCAACGAGACCAATGAAAAGAGCCAACAATAACTTAAACCAAGTCGCCATTATTTTTCTCTGCCAGGGAAATGAGTAAAGAAATCCATCAATCAATTAATCAACAACACCAAACGAGCAAGTCGATCAGTCTGTCAGTCAGTTGCTAAGTCACTTCAACCCGTCAATCGGTCTGTCAGTTGGTCAGTTGTTCAGTTAGTCAGTCGTTTTGACGGTCAAAGGTAAGTCTGTTGGTCAGTAGGTCCGTCGGTTGGTCAGTCAGCCAGTCGATCCGTCGGTCATTCAGTTGGTCAGTTCGAAGGCAGACAATCAGTCAGTAGGGGCTAGTCAGTCAGTTGATCGGTAGGTCAGTCATACAGTCGCTCAGTGGGTCAGTTTTTGAGGCAGCAGTCAGTTAGTCGGTTAGTTAGTCAATCGATCGGTAGGCAGTCATTCAGTCGGTCAGTCAGTCTGTTGGTCAGTCGGTCCGTTGGTCAGTTAGTCAGTTAGTCGATGAGTCGGTCAGTCAGCCATTCGATCTGTCGGTTGGTCAGTCTGTCAGTCGTTCAGTCAGTCGGTCAGGCAGTCTGTCACTCAGTCATACAGTCAGTCGTTCATTCGATTGGTCTGTTAGTCAGTAAGTCAATCTGCTAATCGTAACAGATTTATTCTTGATAAACAGGAAAGAGAAAGAGGATTTGGCGGCGGCCTCATGTCGCAACATTGACTTTCCGCTGTTCCTAATTAAAAGATACTTGCATAATTTCTCTTTGAAAAAATACTTGCATAATTTCTCTTTTAAAAGATGCTTGCAAAATTCCTCTTTACATAGATAAATGCATAATTTCTCTATGAAAAGATGCTTGCATAATTTCTCTTTATAAAGATACATGCAAAATTTCTCTATGAAAAGATACTTGCATAATCCCTCTTTATAACGATACTTGCATAATTTCTCTTTGAAAAGATGCTTGTATAATTTCGCTTGGAATTGATATTTCAAGCCATTCGATCAGTGTTAACAAGAAAAGAGATACTGCTTAATTTGTCTTATGGAAAGAAAAGTTTATTTAGATTGAGGTCGTGATATTGGATCTAGAGAGGTTTCTTTCGATTTATTTAGTTCGTATTTGTGTGTGAGGCTTTGTTAAACTTGTACACAGCGAGACAGACAGCTTTATCTGAATACACCGATTGTAGTACCTTAAACATTTTCACGTCCCTTTTGAAAAAGTGTTAAATCGGACACTTTTTAAGATAAGGCAATCATTTCCTATTTTTTTTTGTCGCAAAATGTATCAAAGTTTCGTTATAGTTTTGAATGTGAGTTATCCAAAAAAATGATGTCATCGTTGAAAGTTTGATTGACATGCTCAACGTCTCTTTCTGAAATCGTTTGAAACACAATTTACTTTTTGGATGTTAGAGTAAATTACCTTGGCAGACGAAATCTTTAGAATACGAAAGTTACTGCAGCTCTTGTTTCGTCGATATTAAATATTGAAAGTTTCATATTGAAATGGCTCAGTGAGACAGTGGCAGTTTTCAACTAATTTGCATTTTGGACAAATTAGTTAGGGCAGCTTTAACACAAGAAATAAGAAAAGGAAAATATAAGTAAATTGAAATAATTTTCGTGGACGTGCTCTGTGTATGAATTTCTTATTCTAAACTTTAAACGTTTTTAAAACCGGTTAGCTAGAGAATTATTCAACTGTGTCAATGAATTTCGTGACAATTGTCTCCTTTTCCTCCGTGCTTTTGCAAACACTTCATCATTATGTAAGGGGTGACTCTTACTTTGTTGGTCTGTTTATGCTTTCTAAACAATAAAGGCATTTAATACTTTTTTTTATTTTCATTTTCTAAATGTCGTCAAACCCCAAAATGACTACGTTATGAGGTCTCAAGAAAATCAGGATCGGAGCGAATTCAAAATTAACTCATCCTGTTTTAAAACAGTGGTTATGGGAGAAAGTTTTTGACCTGGTCAGATAAGCTTTCTCCCCGTTGTATCATTTTTCAGTACCTTATCTTAGCTTCAAGCTGATTCAGTGATAGAGAAGACAACGTCTAATTTTTTTCTTTTACAGAGTCATTTATCCTCTTTACTAGACTCGACTCAGCAGAAAACAATTTATTGAAATACATTCATGGAAAGCCGAGGTCAAGAGCGTAACTCAAACTGTGCACCGTTTTAACAGCTATCATAGAACATGTAACACTACATGTAAAATATTCATTCTCTCTACTTCTGTGAAACAGGCGAAACTGTACGCAAAAAATTAAAGTTTGGGCGAGTTTGCTGTACAGTAGATCCATATCTTTTCGGAAATGACTAAAATCCTTCTGGATTGTGTCCAACGATACACGAGAATATTTAATTAATAGTACCTGTGCAGTTATATGTAAATAAATTTTGCAGATGTGCCGATTTTCAAAATTACCTGTTTCACTGTTCTTTGGTTTCAAGACACAGGCTCTCAAGCCACACGCTGCTATTCACTGCATGGAGTAAGCGACAAGGGGTTTCACTGTATGTGTCTTTGACTTCGAAAACAAGGCTTTTCTGCACATTAATTATCCAATTATGGAAGACCAATTGCCAGATCAAGAAATCATAATATTAGAAAATCCATATAGGCCCATGTTGGTATTAATGATGAACTTTCCAAATCAATTTTGCTCGTAGTCACTGAACAAAATGAAAACGGTGAACAAAATGTTGTCACTCGGCCAGGCTTATCATTCTTTGAGAAAGTGTGGAATTATATTGCGAGAAAGAAATAAAGCAACACAGAAAAAAAGTAAAACAAATAAACTGAAAAAATCAAAACAGGACAAAAACAAGAAATAGGAAATTTTGTATTAGTTCTAAAAATCATTAGCATTTAATTCATATTCGGTTTAATGACTTTGAGCAGATATTCATTTCTTTTTTCTTTTTTCCACTAAGTGTTATGTGCACATAAATACATTCGTATTTTACGTAATTTCCATTCTATTGTGCAAGGAGTAATAGATAAACGCAGTTGCTTGTGTATAGGATAGTAGCCAAGTGTGTTTTTAATCTCGCTAAGTCACCTCTACGGTCGAATTGGCCTCCAGTTAAAATTATCAACCATTCCCTCTTCGTAAGGCCTTATGGTAGTCTCGTCGCTGCCGCTGGATGCACGCAGCTGGACTACCTGAACTATTGAACTAATGAAACGACAAAATTCAATGCATTTTAACTAAGTAAGAACTTAACAAAGACTTTGTTGTTTTCTATTGAACCGATTATGAGAGACAACGATGAAATAATAAGCTACGTTAGGTTTTTTAATATGAAAAAAGGGGTGAAAAAATTATTGAAGAAAAAGGCTAAATTTTGGACTAATACAAGAATTTGAAAACTTCAAAGAGATCCGACGATAATTTGCATTCGCTAAGTTCTAAATTTCAGTGAAAGTAATAAGATATCTGTAAGTTAACGTGAGAATAGATAACTTCACCCCAAGCCAAAATGTCAAGATGCAGATTGATAGATATAATGAGGATTAGTTTAAAGGAAGTTGAGCAAGAAGCTGGGGAAGAGCCAGAAAAATTCAGGTAGCAAATGACGAAATCATACACGATAGCTATTTTCCAGTACGATTGCTTTAACATACAAGCCCACTTCTTTTCAGAAATTTCCATCAAGTTGCAATAGATAGGTAGATAATGCTGTCCTAACTTTATCCTCTTACACAGATGTTAAATATTATCTGCCTTTGGAGTGAAATCCGTACATACATAGATATGCAATCTAGATATTTTTTGAACCTGTACACGTGTTGCATGGTTCATAACTTGCAAATCCCACTGAACGGACCGTTTACTGGTTATCCCGAATTTTTGAAACCTTTGATTCCAGTGTTGTAAAGTGATCTTGCATTTGTTTAAGAAGTCTTTTGGCTACTTCAAAGTCGTTGAGAATACTTTCTCTCTCAGTTAACGCCATTCCTTTGTTTTCAGCTTCTGTTAAATGAATGAAATTGGATTATTTCGTAATGCCACATAACCACATCAATGGAGAAGGCCCGCCGTTGGAATCGAACTGAATACAATGTTGAATAGAAAAAAAACAGAAAAAATGAGAAAAAATAATTAGATAAATTTGTGGATGACGTGAATGAATCGAATGAATGGATGGATGGATGGATGGATGGATATAAGGACGAACGAGACGACTGATGAAGGGATGGCTGGTTGAAAAGGTGAATAATTGTATAAATTACTGAATCACTTAATCCGTAATGACTGATGTGGGGTTGAATGGATAGATTCGTAAACTTAAGTAAAATGAAAAGACCGATGGATAAATGGATAGATGAATGAATTAAAGGCAGATGAAACTATTCACAACACGATGAATAAATGGACACCGTCAAGAGGAAACAAGCTTACGCCACTCTATCATGGAATTTTGCTTCTTGCCAGACTTCTTCCTGATAAGTAAGTCCCATATTACTCCAATACAAAGCATTCCCGCCAATACTCCAAGCAAAATGTACAGGAGTACTTTAACAAAGCTGAAGGAATCGTCAAACAAACTGAATTGTTTGGCTGGATTGCTTTTGGTGGACTGTCAAAAAAAGGAAACATTCATGATTTTCTTATAAATAGATCAATTCATCATGACTCAAATCGTGCCAATCATTTCATGGGACTAAGGCAAGCAATGACAAGGAAGAAGTCATAAGGAATTAATTTCTCCTCTTCTGTATTCGAATTGGTTACTTTTGTCTAAGTGACCTGGGTAACAGAGGTTGCTGACCCTGTTAAATGTTTTTCATGCTTCACGCACAATAGCTGATAAAGCAGAGATCGGAGCTCGCTGTTCAAATAATTCTCCCAACTTAAAGCTGTACCTTATATGTTGCAGTGATAGTTTGAGCCGACCTCAAAATGGTGGAACGATGATAATTTAAGCAATCTGCCAGGTGTTTTCTGTCCTTTGAAAAGAGAACCCCGACATCTCTTTGAAGTTCCAATTTCTTGACGGTGAGAAGCGTTTTCAGTTTTTCTCTTGAGTGGTAAAAGGTGTTTGCGTAGTGATCTATGAATAATCCATCAACTTTCTGGGACTGCACATCTTTAACAGCGTCTTCGATACTGTTGCGCACTAGATACAGTATGAAAAAAAAACAACAAAGTATTAACATTTATTAACGTTTATTACACCCAACTGACGTACAAGACTGTAGCTGTTGACTTTTGCATAGGTTGTTGAGACGTCGTTCTTAAGGCTAACGGCTCACAAGGAAAACCAGTTGACTATAATTCTTAAATTAAAGCAATTAATTGTAGCAAATGGATTGATTGAATATGAGGGTGCATACTCCGTCGACGTATCCAAGACATTTTACCCTTTTCGTGTCCAGGGTTGATGGGCCATGCTTGCAACCAGTTGCTTATTCAATTGGTAAAGCTTACACTCTGGTTTTAGAACAACTAATTGCATCCAGTGGTTATGGAATTGTACATAAATACCTATTGGTTCAGCCTCCTCCTGTAGTGCATGTTGGTACTCTGTCCCATTTCCTATAACTGCAACCTGATGAAAAAAACTTTTTTATCAGACATATTATAGTTTTCTACAACACAGTTGTATAATTATAATAATAACTTTTTAGATGGTTTTTAAAAAGGACATGACGACAACGAAAAAGAAAAAGAGGACGCAGGAGAAGAATAATAGGAATAACGGCAAGAACATGAATGAAATTTAACCAAGAAAAAGAACAGAAATAGGAAAGTCACAACATGGTTACGCGTGTCTTCACATGTAATGATGACATTTTCTTGGTGATCTGCAATCTGTTCGGGAATGCATGGTGTACGTTGCACGGCGTTAGCCTCTTGCATCGCTAATTTATCCACAACATGCCACGTTTTTTTTCATTGTTTAGCAATCTATCAGCCTCACTTTCTTATTAGCAAAGCTACTTGGTTCGGTTTCCTGGGAAAGAGCCGTCAGGGCTGAAGTGACGTTCGCTGTAAAGATTGCCATAACAATCAGGCCCACGAGAATCCAAACAATAGAGAATATCCGTGCAGGAAGAGATTTGGGAGATTTGTCACCATACCTGAGACGAAATAGATCATTATCACCTTAAATCTGCTTGCACACTGATCATGATAGAACATCCAAAATTAGATGGCTGGACCATGCTGAATCGGCTCGAAATAAACATTGGACATCAACAAGGGAGGCTTCTCTGGTCCACTGTTTTGAGGTCCAATTAAAATTTGTAGTGTCCATAAATTTAAATAAAATCTCCAAAATTCATTAGGTGTTTGACAACATTTTTTGCAAAGCTAGTTATGTAACTAAAGAGGTTTACCCTACTGTGGTCATCGAAATAAAAGACCACCAAAATCCATCCCATGAGCCTTTGATGAATGAACGTGGAAACTCTTCACTATTCCAGTAAGTGTCCTGAAAAAAGTGAAGAAACAATTCTTAGTAAACAAGAAAAAAAGTGTTATATTATTAATGAAGAAATAAATACGGTCAAATTTCTCAATGTGTATCCCCAAACGGTTGCCTCCCCGCTGCAAGATGTGCCGGTCGCTGTTGTTGATAAGAGGTAGGAAGTGAATGATTTCAAATATATATTTTTTTTGCCGTGACACTTCCTAACTGTCTCTTAAGGACACAAAATAGTGCTCCTAAGATCAAATAATCCAAACTCAAATGCTTACTCCATACTCCACACTTTCGACAATGTTTTTCTAAGCGTAGCATTTTAGTTCTTAACTACACGAAGAACGCTTGTCACATGAACCGGGTATAGTTATTAATATTTATAATTATGAACTGCACAGGTGGCCTAGCTCCCCGACGAGTACCCTCTAGTTAAGTCAGACAGTCTATGGTTGATTTATTTTTTTCCTTCAATCATGATAATTGTTTCCCACCTCTCGCAGATAAAATGGGTTGCTGACGTTGAAAGATCACGTAAATCATTTTGCAAAGGTTTAAATTTATTAAACAATAAAAAAGTAGCGGATATAGTTAGAAAATACCCTTTGGGCGCTAGAGAATGTTTTGTTACACAAATTCAAACTTACCAAAGCCCACATAACAACTCCTGAAATGGCTGTCAGGACCAGAGTAACAGCTAGCAGTGGCCAAGACTTCAGAACGGCATCCAAAACATAGCTGATCTTGTTGTTCCCTTCTTCAGTGGTAATGTAGTCTGTTCCTGGATAATCAACAACTTTGAAAAATGGGAACTCGCTGTAGTGTCTGTCCCCTTTTGGTTCAAATATAGGAGCTGCAACGTGGACTTTGTTTTGCTCGAGAAGTACGATCATTTCATATTCACTGTTAACTTGCCGGTCTTCCACTTGGTATTTGATACGATTAACCAAACCGCATTCATACGTCATGTATCGTAAAAGCGTATCTCGGATCAGTCCCTGAGCCCCGCTGTCTATAGATCCATTGGTGGGTCGAGCGACATACGGTGGTTTGGCAATCCAAGTTATTGTTAGATTTAGGTACCATTCGATCTTCCATTCGTCTTCCTCTGTAGAAGAGTTATCATTGGCTGACACAGTGATGAAATTTGCAACAACAGCTCCGATGAAGGCAGCTGAAAACACCTTAGTCCAATCTTTCATTATCACCCTGATTAAAAAGACAATTGTTTTCGTTGCATTATCGAAATATTTTATGGACGATTTTAGTCCGAAATTGAATCAAGCTTTCCAGGGAATGGTTGTATTAAATCTTCTCGAATCTAGTAAAAAAAAGTGAATTGATAATCGTTAAAATTATTAGAGAGTTTAAGTGGCCCGCCTCGAGAAGTTCTATACTCTTCATCGGCTTTTTAAGATGAAAATTAAAAGAAGATATCTCGACAAAAACAATTGCTCTGAGAGAGCATAATGACGCATAAATTCAGTAAGTAAAATACGTGTCTTGAGCACAACATTTACCAAGCAAAGTAAAACTGTAAATATCACTGGTATATGACTGTGCGCGTTGATCGAGAAGAAAAAAGAAATAAAAGGAATGATGACGAGAAAATTGTCGAAGTCAGTCAAATGCCGCAATAGTCGATCAAATTCGTACCGGGCGTACTCAACGCGTAAACTTATCCAAAATTAGAGCTGAGTACTATTTTCAGAGTTAGAGTACGTCAAAGTTACTTCTTTAACTGCTTCGTAGTGTGGACTTTGTCTATGTAACGCATTTGATCTGTGAAATACGGCTAGGCCATCACGAACAAATGAATGTAATTGCAATCAACGCCACTGGATGTATAATCTTAACAACTAAAACGAAGAACCCACACGTTAATTAAACATGAGAACCAACTGTCGTTAATTTGTACCTCGACTGAGAAACAAAGCACAGAATACGTTAAGTTGCCACACGACCATCCTTATACCGTCAAATTGTTCAATTCAAACTGTATCTTGATTTCGATTGGCTGACACTGGTAGAAACTTTCGTTTTTTCGCCTTTTAATACCTAAGTTAAATTTGAATTAATTTTAAATTATCAATGCACTTCTTTGCTCTCTAAAGATGCCTCAGAAAAGATCCCATTATAATGGCAGGATAAGATAAACAGCCCCAGGACACAGATTTATTTGTATTAATACTCACTGTATTGATGGTATCCAGTTGTCATTAACTGGCAAAAGTAATAATATTTAGCCTAACGCATAATAACGGCAATACGGTTATATATATATTTCATAGGTTTACTATTCTCACTTAGAAAAGTTGATAATTAGTAGATGTCGAGATAAATTGAAGCAAGAACCGGCATGGATTCTAAGTAAAAAATTTAAGTCTTATCAATTCGGATAGTCAGTAGTTATTGGGGGACGTTCTAACTATTCTTTGCCATCGATGTATTTTATTTAAAAACGCCACTTAGTTAAAAATTCACGCCCTAAGGGTAGTTAAATATCACATTAACATGTATTTGTATAAGGAAAGCAGTGTGTCTAATGAGTCCTCTGAATTCCTAAACAATATACATTGATCTGTTGTGGAAAGGTTTCTTCTTTTAAAGCGTTCAGTTTACACCATGAACTCCAAAGGCTAAATTTCAAGTTTTATATTATTTTGACTAGAGAAAAAAAAATACGATTTCTTTCACGAGAAGCCAATTAAAATGCAAATTTTGATGCATTCTGCCCTTAGCACATTAATGGGAAAAATACTTTATTATACTGAACAGACTTTGGCAAGTTAATTATGAGAAAGCTGGATATGAAGTCATCATCATTTAAGTCACATTTTATTTTCCTTAAAATGAAAAAAAGACCCATCTTTTCAAGGAAGAATCAACACAAAATGAAAACGACTTTGGTGAGAACTTAGCAAATATATTCATCATTTATAAGCTTAACATCTCTTTTTTCGTTACGTTCCTGATGGAAGTTTTAATGTCGATTTACTTCACAAGTATTTGCAAATGGTAACACTAAAAATCTAAATGGCATGCATTAGTACCGTAAGCAACTCCGGTTACTTTAAGAAAGATGGGGATATCAACCTTTATCATTAAAATAACAAACGTTTGACAAATGTACAGGAATATTTTGGTGACAAGAAAGAGGAAGAGGATTTAGCGGCAACCTTATTTCGCAACATTGACTTGTATTATTCCTAATGAAAAGATACTTGCACCATTTCTCTTTATATATATACATGCATAATTTCTCTTCGTATAGATACTTGCAAAGAAAAGATGCTTGCATAATTCCTCTTTACAAAGATACTTGCATAACTTCTCTATGAAAAGATACTTGCATAATTTCTCTTTATAAAGATACTTGCACAATTTCTCTATGAAAATATACTTGCATAATTCCTCTTTAAAAAGACATGTATAATTTCTCTTTATAAAGATACTTGCATAATTTCTCTTTGAAAAGATGCTTGTATAATTTCGCTTGGAATTAATAATTCAAGCCATTCAAGGTTGCTTTCGATTTATGTGTGAGGCGTTGTTAAACTTGTACACAGCGAGACAGACACCTATATTTGAATACACCGTTTGTAATGCCTTTAATTTTTTAAGATAAGGCAATCATCTGGTGGCAAAAATGAGTTGAAATACGGCAGATAAGATTATGTTGCGCCATTCCATTTCCAATTGTTGCTCTAAAAGGAGCTATGATCATACCGCATACGATAAGTATAGATATATCAACATCTTACTTATTTTCAGCGAAGCATCTACGCCACAACAAAGACATATCACATGAAAACTCTTTCTTTGAAATATGAGATTATAGATACTGTGTATGAATAAGCTTACCTCTTAATTCGTATGACTGCTTTCGCTATCCGAGTTTAGGGCTTTACTATATACATAATTAATGCTTCGCTGAAGATTTATTTGCTCTTTTATTGTTTCGTTTAACATCTGTTGTTTTTAATTTGAGAACATCCTCCTCATTCTGTAACTAAGGTCTAACGAGGGACATGTACCAGTTAAAACATTCGTGATAGTGTGACAGAGCATTCATGACGTAACTAAATCATTGTGAAAGAAACATTGAGATGGCCGGTAGAAGGTTCAACCATTGATTATTGCGTGCTTTTAATCATAATAAACATCTTCCGTGCTGGGAGAAGCAATAATCCTAAAATACTTTAAAATTCGTGAATCGTGAAAAGAGACTCCTGGGACTCAAATCAATCATGTTAACAAAGATGCAAAGGGTGTTTTGAGGCGAAAATTGTAAATAGCATCGGAACTCTGGAGAGAAACATAAAACAAAAAATTAGTTTATCATAAAAGAAAACTGTGGGATTTCTATACGACGATACTTCACTATTTTCTTATGGGAAAATAACCAACAGCGATAAATACAGAGCAAAATTAAAATGCAATCAAATGCAAACAAGAAACATAGGGACTACCTCTCGTTTATTTTCCGGTTTTACTACCTTTGTTGGTTATTAAATTTTATGGGGAAAATTGAGCGAACCTCGCTTTGCAGGAGATTTTTTTTACACTGAGCCTTAGTTCCAATTATCTTTGAGCAAGAGGACGATTCTTAGCAGGAGCGGTTGACGGAAGGCTAAATTTTGACGGAGTAGATGTAAAGCTTTCTTAATTTTTGACAATTTCCTCGAACTTACTAATTTCAGGACGCGATCCATACAACAGATATACGACTGCGTGCATAACTGTAAATTTTTTTTTTAGACGATTACAAAAGAACGCCGCCAAACCAATAGTTATGGGTCATTGACTAATTGTGAGACATGTTTTAACGCATTTTCAGGTATTTAAAAGTTTCTCCTTGATAGATTTGATAGGTAAATCGTTTCTAAGTCATTCTCGGCCTGAGAGAAAATATGGCAAACGTTTGTGAGATTATCTTTTCGACTTCATTGGCTTTGTTTGGACTCACTCTGGAAATGTTTTTAGTAGAAAGGACAGAATGTAATAATGTAAATAACATGTTCTTGTAATCATGTGGAAAATTTGTTTATTGCCGCTTCAGGGTTGTTGAAGTGTTCTAGCAACTGAATAAGATCTCTCGCTGCTTTCCTATCCTTATTAATGCATGCTCAGCCTCGCCGCTGCTCCTGTTACAAAGCATCTCTCCTCCACCATAAGATAAAGGATTCTTCCTAAACTGATCATGTTCTCGTTCACATTAACAGTCCTAGAGTTTTTTCAGGTTTTATTTCAACTACTAGCTCAGTAATGTTCATAGCTGCGAGGATCTCTTATATTCATTTTTTCACCGCAGTGCATGTATATATGATTTTCATCATATATATCTTATCTACAGTCATTATTGATCACTTGGATGGTTTATTTGGACCCAACACATTGATCAGCTCCCAGTTGGCTTGTTAGCTCAGTTGGTAGAGCGCTGCATCAGTATCGTAGAGGTCATGGGTTCAAATACCGTACGGGCCAAAAAAATTTTTTTCAGGTCTTATTTCAGCTACTAGCTCAGTAATGTTCATAGCTGCGAGGATCTTTTGTAATCGTTTCTTCACCGCAGCGCATATATATGATTTTCATATATTTTACAATCATTAGTCCCAGAGTAGTTTTACTTAAATCCGATAAATCTAGATTTGCGTAAACTTTGTATCAATTGTAATTTCATTTGCTGCCTCAGTGATTTAGCATACCGATCCTATTGTATCAACATTCACGTTACTGTATCGAGCTTTCTATTTTAGCCTTGCCGACTGCAAAAAAATGTATTTACAGTAAACCAATAATCAAGAAATATTGATAAGGCAAGAATTTATATTTCCAAATTATTTTCGGTTCATTAATGTTAAGTTCAACCTTAAACTTTGAGCCTTCTAGTCTTAACGTGCGTAAAACTATAGTCTCACCAAATTTAACTTTTTCCTTGATTTTTCGTGAATTTTCTTTCCTTCTCATGATCAAATAGTTCCAATGAGTATCAAAGCCAGAAAAATTCCAAATGAAGTGCCATTCTTACTGAAAAAACTATCTCAGTTAACTAAACAGTTATCCTCATAACAAAGCTGATAATGCACTATATTATAAGCTGAAAACTACCTGCGTTTTGACTGGTTCTCATTTATGATACATTGGGAAGATAGACGAATATACGACGACAGCATTAGCAACATTTTGCTTTTTTATCATATAAATCAAATAGATTCCATGTTGCCGTAGGTCTGTGAAATAGAAGATCACAGTAGACGTAAAAATGTGGTTAGAACATCGGTGCATGACACAATTGGCTGCACCTCCTGTGATCTGTTACTGAACAAATGTAGGGAAACATGGAATCTGTTTGTTACATGGATTAACAGCTTTTCTGATCAGTGTCATTTCAGTCTCATTTTAAAAACTTTGGACTCCAGTATGTCAAACTGTTCCTGTGTGGTGCGCAGGAGCCGTCGCATTACTTCAAGTTCGGCGCGAACTGTATCTCCTTCTGAGACCCATCCTTTATTAATGACCTCATCTGCGAAAAAGAAAAATCGTAATTTTAAAAACTGCAGTTATCGTTCCATGGTATAATGTTAAACATTGAAGTTACCAGAAGATACTCGCTGTACTCAACAGTCGCTGCGATCAGAGCATGAATTGCATTTATCGTCATAGGCTCTTTTATTCTCAAAGTTTTTCACTTTGCAGTCGCATTCACAACAAGTAGAAACCAGTAATTCACCCTCATTATAGAGACATAGTATAACTACAGAGACGTGGGGGAGAGCTTTCCACTCGAATGCGACTGATAAAGTATTCTTTAAGTTTTCATGTTATATCATATTTTCTTTTGCCTTCGTCGTTCGCGTTTTTAATTAGAATCGATTTAATCTCTTAAACATTTTTAGCTTTTTACTTTTTAATTTTACATAATGACATTTTTCCTTAAGTTATCTTCCTTATTTGAAATTAATACAAATATGAACAGATTTTTAGGGAATATGCTCAATACAAGTTCTCTACATATCAGTGTTTTTTGAAGAATTTTTTGAAATACAGAAGGATTGAATCTCTATCAATCTGTCCCAAAAAGGCCCTCATCTTTAAGAACAGTGATGAAGATTTTGGTCAAGCGTATCTCTTGCCTTCCATCTTCATTTCCGTTTTGCTGATCTCTACTTTTTATTTTAACAATTATTCACCTTAGAGGAGGTGAAGAGTGACGAATACCTGCATAGCGGCGAAGTGGCGCGGTAAAAATCCACCACTTTTAACGACACTGAGGTGAATAATTATTTAGTTTATACCCCAAAGATAAAAAAAACAAGTTATTTATTTCAATATACCGAAAAATGGTCGGACATTAAACTACTGACGCGCGATTTTGTCTCATCTGCCTCTAGGAGGTGGAGAGTACTTGTTATTCACTTCCGAATTAGCCAATCCGTGCGCGCGAAAAGTTCTCTTCAGCTGTGTGGTATGTATTAATTTATATTAAAGCTGACTTTTAAAGAAAATTGATCAACACGCTCACCCACGTGCATGGTGACATTTCGTTTTCCTTTCAGTCTAATGAGCACTTCCCACGACATACCAATAACAAGCAAAATAGCCAACACTCCAAGTGATGTATACATGGAATTTCTGACGAATGGGGAGGATTCGTCAAAGAGATTGAAGCTTTTCGGAGGCCTTTCTTGTGTTAGCTAATTATGAAATGAAACCATGAAATAACATATGATATCCTTTGCTTTATGGTTAGTTGTTATTTTTTGGTTGGTTTGTCCGTTTGTTAATTCCTTACTTGGCACACGGTTACTACAACGCTGCCGCTGACTTCACGTGTGTTATTAACATTGCTTGTCATATCGCACTTTACCGTACAGCACAAGCACCACTTACATTATCAACTTTACTTGATTCTACTCGTAGTATTGAGAAATCGGTGAACTGTACATAAAGAATCCAGAAATTTGATGCCAAAATTATGTCTTTTTTCTTTACTTTAAAGATTACCTTGTATAAGTCAGTAATGCCTTGAACCGATCTGCATATGTCTAAACGGAAATTGTTTGTTAAGCACTCGGCAAGCGCCTTTCGGTTGTTATGAAACAGCGCTCCTATGTCTCTTTGTAGATCTAACTTCTTCACAGTTATAAGGGATTCCAGTTAGCCATCTCTTTGATAATAGGAAGCAGCGTAGCGGTCCAATAACATTCCGTTGACTTGCTTTGATTCCAGTGCTTCAATGGCGTCATCGATGCTGTTAAACACTACGAAGACGGAACAATAGATGACGTCTCTTAAAATAATTTTTTTATTGTTTTTAATCCTGTTTTGGTAAAAAATATGCTATTTCTTGCATTCGTCATAAATGCTTTAAAATTAAAGCAGATGCTGGAAACGCAGCGCAAATATGCAGTCCAGAGCTTTGAAATTGTGCTTTTCTTGGTAAAATTTCGATTGCAGAAGTTTCATGTTTTTCGAAATTTTGCTCCAATTTGGCAACAAAAAGGAACACAATTTTTTTTTGTTATGCTCATTGACTAAATTCTTTTATCTCTCTTATTGTGTTTATGCACACGACGCTTTTGACATTGCTGAACCTAGCAGCATGCAGGACGCACATCACATGCATTTGTCTGAACCAGTTATACCCCTAACTCACCACAGAGTCTTAGATACTACTCCTTATGGGGACTCAGAATCGTTTATTTTTGCTTTGCTATTGACGAAATAAAAAATATCTTTCTCTATTTCATTACCGAGATCAAAAAGTTACCAAGAATTAACAACTTCATAATTCTGTTTATTATATATGTCAATATCCAGGGCTCGAACTTAACTTTTTTGTCTACTAGCAAAGTTTTGCTAGTAAGATTTTTTTTACTAGCAAAAGAAGGAACCTAACTAGCAACTTTTCAATGCAGCCATTTTCAGCGTTAATTTTTTAATCGAAATTCTACTGGAAAAATACCGGTACTCGCAAATGTTTGCTAGAGGATATTTTTTAGACTCGCAACTTCGAAAAACCACTCTCATTTCGCGAGTTTGCGAGTGCTAATTTCGAGCCCTGATATCTAGTTTAGCTTTATTGATTTCCCATTGACCTTTCGGACGTGCATTTTCCCCCAGCGCATATTGGTATTCGGTTCCATTGCTCAACACTGCAACCTAAGGATAAAGCGCAAAATAACATTCACGGTAATTTGGACAGATTAAATTCCACATGACTTTTCTTACTTGAAAGACTCCAAAGAAAATACTTTAGTAATAAAACCAAGAACAGCACATATACAAAGAATCACAGATAAATGTTTTAAGTCTAGTGAGCCCCATTTGTAGAAAGTGCCGTACTATGATAGGAAGTTTATGTTATCCGTTTTGGCTACTTTTTTCTTTTACATGGTCCTTGTTTTTTATGGATAGTCAATTACTAAAATAGAGACAATTCTCTATATAAGTTTCTTGGAGTCGGCAGGGTTATAAAACAGATGCCTTGTTATAGCTCATTATAACTGATGTAATGCAATGTCAAATTATCTGCACTAACATCAACGGCATCAAGGCTTGTTGGTTCTAGATGCAAAGAAAGAGCTGTCAATGCAGATGTTACATTTGCCGTGAAGACAGCCATGATTATAAGGCTAAACTGGATCCAGATGACCGAGAATATACGAGCCAGAACAGATTTTGGAGCCTTGTCTCCATATCTAGCAAAGAAAAAACAGAAAATACGTTTTTATAAAACGTGTGATCAGTTTTGTGTGCGTGTGGGGGTAGGAGAACATTAGCTCAGAGAGCGCATATGCGATTAACTGCTCGACCTCCCCTGTCGTGAATTAATAAGCTAAATTGATTATGGGAAGTCTAAAGTCAGTGGTTATACTTTTACTGACTAATTAGCTAAAGCTGAAGCATTGTGACAGATTTTCGGGAAGCACTCTAGCAGTACAATGCATGAATTTTGCCCGATCCTCGCCAGAAGAGGGGAAAATCTGCATGAAATACATCGTAAGAAATGAAAAGTCACCTGATCAATATGTAACTGATACCTCAATTAAGATTTGGGATAAATCCTAATACTTAGAGCTCTCCTCACCCTACGGTTGTCATGGAAATGAAAGACCACCAAAAACCATCCCAGGAGCCTCTGAAGAATGAACGCGAAAACTCTTCACTGTTCCAATATGAATCCTAGGATTTCAAATATAGTTATTGGCTAAAAGAAGATTAATGAATAAAGGGGGTAAGTTTCTAAAGAAACTGTGGTGCTGCGTCGGTGGGAGAGTATAACAAGGTAATTTAGTATCATCAACTGAGTTGACAACGTAAATTAGCTTTCGTAAAGAGTTTCGAGTGCTAGCCCTTTGTCAAAGCAATGTTGGTTCTCGCACGGGTGTACATTAAAATCACTGATCATATTAAATATCTATTATCAACGGTCATTGACCCTCTTGATATGGTCATAATTGGAGTGGTTTTTGTAAGTCAAAATCTCACCAATGCAGTCCAAACATCGAGCCGAAGGGTACTAAACTATTGTATAGTTTCGAAAATGCGTCTGCAGCATGTTATTGTTAAGATTGAATGTATCAGACAAACAAAGCAAAGCCGCAGTTAGATATTTAGTGAGATCGAATAAACTTGTTGATTTTTGATGTTACTTTTCCATCGGTTCTTAAGGCTTAGCTTCATGCGGAACTTAAAGAAACGCCTCTTACGGAACACCCACTGAGTTACTTCAAAAACGCTGTATGAGTTCAGGGGATAATATAATTTAAAGGGAGATAGAAATAGAAGGAACTTTTTTGGCTCGCATTTGTGTGGGTAGGAAGTTTGCAAGAACCTTAAAATCAGGAGTAGAGTAATACTTACAAGTACCCAGATGATAATTCCAGCTATGGCCGTGAGGATCAGTGTAAAGGCAAGCAAAGGCCAAGACTTCAGCAAAGAATTAAATACTACAATGATAGCTCTGGTTTCCTCTTCAGCCGTTGTTATGTATTCGGTTCCGGGATAATTGAGCACTTTGAAAAATAGAAACTCACTGTAATGCTCATCGTGTTGTTGTTTGAATATAGGAGCAGCTATGTGCGCTTCGTCTCGCCTCAACAGCTCGATCATTTCAAATTCACTTTGAGCTTTCTTTGTTCTCACATTGTAAATGTATCTGTAGTTTTCATCGGTATAACCACATTCAGAAATCAAATACTTTAAAACTACATCTCGAAACAACCCAGCGACTTCGTCTTCAATGGATTCGTTAGAAGGGAATTTAAATATGGAGGTCTTTCAATCCAGGCTACGGTGAGATTCAGCTGGTGAATAGGTCTTTTTCTCCAACGGCGTGTCGATGAGTTGGCTTCCGCAGAAGTACCTCGGAAATGAGAACCGGCAATTCCAATGACAACAAATGCAAATATGTTAAACAAGTAAGCCATATGAAGATCTAATAATAGAAACAGAATAATTTGTTTTCCATATTTTGAATCGACTAGGAATTCAAGTAAGTGTGATAACGACCTCTTTAAATGTACTCTGCAAAGTCAAGCCAAAGGTTTTCGTTTGTATGAAGTTTGTGTTTGCTCTCCATCTGATTAGTTAACCATAGTTTTCGGCCTACTCTCACACCTTTCTTTTGCGACACGCTCCGACTTAGCAGGCTGTATTTTCAACAAAATTTCCGTCTATTTTAAGTAATATTTCTCTACGATGCTTCTCTACGATGATTTACAAAATTCAAAAGCGAAGTCTGAAGTTCGATGGTATTTAGCTCATTAAATTGATACTGTCAATATTTATTTTTTTAGAGGGCACGGTAACGAATCCTGCAATCTGATTGGTTCTCAACCCGGTCAGTATTTTCCTATCTCTGCCCACGGGCCACAGTAACGCTTTCCTGAGTCGCCGAGTACATCCCAATTTTCGTTGCCATTTTTCATAAATATACCTCGTTTTGCCGGCTGGGCAGTATTTTTAAGCAAATACATTTCATTACGTTGGTTGACAAGCCTAAAAACCGTCTGCAATTGATTTTAATCATTCACAAAAAGTACTTAGAAAGTTAAAATGTGAGGTATTTGGTTACAGGTAAACTGAACAATGGAACTTTCATTCATTTAATATCTGAATTTTCTCAAACAATTTGTTCGTAGTGAAAGAGCGAGCGAAGTTTTAATTTCAGTTCGACAATAAATATACGCTCTCAGTGAGTCTTTCCAAGTCCGTTCAGTTTGGACATTTGGATCATAAATTGCACAACTGAAGAAATTTATTGAGAAAAGGCCGCATTAAATCCCCTTGTGTCTCGTTGGAGTGTGCCGTTCGAATTTAGTTTTTGTGGAGGAAAGGAGATTTACACACGCCGTTGCAAACAAACGAGCAAACTCTCACAACCTCAAAATAAAAAATTTGAACTTACTCACAATTACTTTCCTGGCCGTTTACTTATTGAACAGAAGTAAATCTTCGTACGTGAATGAATCGTCGATGAGAGTGAATAATACTTTCCGTTAGATCATTGACTGTTATTTAAGAAAACATCGTCGTGACAGACCTTGCCAAACTAGTTCCGTTGTTTTTCAAATCTTCTTGCGCTTTTTTTTCTTACGCGCTCTCTAATTGACAGGTGTCAGATTGTGACATATACTGGTAAAAATAATGTTTCAAACTTTGTTTGGAAGCCTTTTAAATCAACTTTATCAAAACGCAAGTGAAAATGTTTCAGTGAAGCATCTCTCTTTAATTTGTATCACCTCTACTTTAACTACCATGTACTTGCTCAAAATTTGTTCAGTTTATGGAAGATCTTGCCGTATTTATAGCCCTAAATCATTCGGGTTCTTTCAGAATGTATTTCGTTAAGTTTAAAAAAAAATATGTTATTTACCGGCTAAGGGTCGGTCCGTATGGTGAAAAACTGTGACTTCGGCCTTGTGTCTCGTTGGAGTGTACCGTTCGAATTTAGTTTTTGTGGAGGAAAGACAAGATTTACACACGCCGCTGCAGCAAACAAACGAGCAAACTCTCACAACTTCAAAATAAAAAATTTGAACTTACTCACAATTACTTTCCTGGCCGTTTACTTAATGAACAGAGGTAAATCTTCGTACGTGAATGAATCGTCGATGAGAGTGAATAATGATTTCCGTTATATCATCGACTGTTTTTGAAGAAAACACTGTCTTGACAGTCCTTGCCAAACTAGTTCCGTTGTTTTTCAAATCTTCTTGCGGTTTTTTTTTCTTACGCGCTCTCTAATTGACAGGTGTCAGATTGTGACAGATACTTGTAAAAATAATGTTTCAAACTTTGTTTGGAAGCCTTTTAAATCACCTTTATCATTACGCAAGTGAAAATGTTTCGGTGAGGCATCTCTCTTTAATTTGTATCACCTTTACTTCGACTACCATTTACTCGCTCAAAAACTGTTCAGTTTATGGAAGATCTTGCCGTATTTATAGCCCTAAATCATTCGGGTTCTTTCAGAATGTATTTCGTTAAGTTTAAAAAAAAAATGTTATTTACCGGCTAAGGGTCGGTCCGTATGGTGAAAAACTGTGACCTCAGCCTTGAAAATGCTGCCCTCGGCCTACGGCCCCGGGCAGCATTTTCAAGACCTCGGTCACAGTTTTTCACCATACGGACCTCCCAGCCGGCAAATAACATATATTTATTTTTTTTTTAGAGGCACGGTAACGAATCCTGCAATCTGATTGGTTCTTTACCCGGTCAGTATTTTCCTATCCCTGCCCACGGGCCACGGTAACACTTTCGTGAGTCGCCGAGTGCATCTCAACTTTCGTAGCCATTTTTCATAAATATATCTCGTTTTGCCGGCTGGGCAGTATTCTTAAGCAAACACGTCGGTCACTACCTCAAGCCGACTTATGAATCCTCTCTTTTCTCTCTCTCAAATCATTTTGGTTGCCAAAAAAATATTGGTTTCAGAATGAATTTGTATAAGCAATAGTGTCATTACGTTGGTTGACAAGCGGCCTAAAAGCCGTCTGCAGTTGATTTTAATCATTCAAAAAAAGTACCTAGAAAGTTAAAACGTGAGGTATTTGGTTACAGGTAAACTGAACAATGGAACTTTCATTCATTTAATATCTGAATTTTCTCAAACAATTTGTTCGAAAGAGCGAAAGAAGTTTTAATTTCGGTTCGACAATAAATATACGCTCTCGGTAAGTTTTTCCAAGTCCGTTCAATTTGGACATTTGGACCATAACTTGCACAACAGAAACTGAAGGAATTTATTGAGAAAAGGCCGCATTAAATCCCCTTGTGTCTCGTTGGAGTGTGCCGTTCGAATTTAGTTTTTGTGGAGGAAAGACAAGATTTACACACGCCGTTGCAGCAAACAAACGAGCAAACTCTCACAACTTCAAAATAAAAAATTTGAACTTACTCACAATTACTTTCCTGGCCGTTTACTTAATGAACAGAGGTAAATCTTCGTACGTGAATGAATCGTCGATGAGAGTGAATTATACTTTCCGTTAGATCATTGACTGTTTTTTAAGAAAATATTGTCGTAACAGACCTTGCCAAACTAGTTCCGTTGTTTTTCAAATCTTCTTGCGGTTTTTTTTTCTTACGCGCTCTCTAATTGACAGGTGTCAGATTGTGACAGATACTTGTAAAAATAATGTTTCAAACTTTGTTTGGAAGCCTTTTAAATCACCTTTATCATTACGCAAGTGAAAATGTTTCAGTGAAGCATCTCTCTTTAATTTGTATCACCTTTACTTCGACTACCATTTACTCGCTCAAAAACTGTTCAGTTTATGGAAGATCTTGCCGTATTTATAGCCCTAAATCATTCGGGTTCTTTCAGAATGTATTTCGTTAAGTTAAAAAAAAAAAGAAAAAATGTTATTTACCGGCTAAGGGTCGGTCCGTATGGTGAAAAACTGTGACCTCAGCATTTTCAAGACCTCGGTCACAGTTTTTCACCATACGGACCTCCCAGCCGCGATTCTTTACTTTGGGATTTTAATATTAAAAAACTGGTTAAGACTTCGGCGACAATTTAAGCTAGATGTGGAAAGTTATGAGCCAGCTGATGAGGAAGAACTGTCTACTTTTTCTTTGGGAATGGAGTTTTTAATTCCCCCAAAAGAACGAGTTCATTTACACGCATGAATTCACCTGTCAGTTTTTTGACCAATCTAAGACAAGATCGTTTTCAGCGTAGCAAAATGTTTTCCTGAAACAAAATCATCAACGCGCTGAAGCATAGCAAAGGGAATATTAACCCTATTAGAACATTTAAACCATCGGGTTGAAAATGTTATAGAACGATTGGTTCATACGTCAGCTGTGCGTTGATTGCCGAGAGCCGGTAATTCCAATGACAACAAATGCAAATATGTTAAACAAGTAAGCCATACGAAGATCCATGAATAGAAACAGAATAATTTGTTTTCTATGTCTTGAATCGACTAAGAATGCAAGTAAGTGTGATAACGACCTCTTTAAATGTACTATGCAAGGTCAAGCCAAAGGTTTTCGTTTGTATGAAGTTTGTGTTTGCTCTCCATCTGATTAGTTAACCATAATTTTCGGCCTGCTCTCACAACTTTTTTCGGCGACACGCTCCAACTTAGCAGGCTGGTTTTTGCAACAAGAAGCTAAAGTTGCTCTCGGCTACGCCTCGAGCAAGTCTTACGCATCTTTCGTGCTCTCCAAACTTCCCGCGTGCTTCATATCTCGATGAACGCATGCTGACGTATGAACCAATTGTTAATTAATTTTTCATCGTTAGCTTCGAATAAATACTCAAAATGGAATGCTTTTACGCGGATGGAATATAACTTAACCTCTTTTCACCATTTTATCTTATCTTCAGCGTCTGTTACTAATCCGGGAGAGGAAATATAAAACATCGTGGTATCATTGCAGATGAAAGGGAGCAGATGTTTTAACAAGCTAGTGGTGCAAATTGGACTCACTCTGCCTTTACGTTTTTAATAAATTAGATCCATTTCTACTTTTTTTAATTGCGTGAGCCCAAGTTAATGATCTCAGCATTTTAAATTCCTGATAAAAAAGGATTGTATATTTCATAGTTTGATACACTGATTTCTTCTTTTTTGAGTTTTGTACCACAATAGGCT